CAATTAAAGCTAGACCACCATGAAAAACCTGGAACAACTGAACGGCCATTTCACCCTAGTATGGGACTCCTAAGCAGTGTGCATCCACGATCCCGCCTCACGAGTTCCAACCCAGGACCTATCAGCCTTGCGCGCGAACGCTTAACCTCTAGATCACTGAGCCGGCCGGCATCCAACGGTGTTAATGTCTAACTTCAACCAATTCACGATATTGCGCCATCGTCCACCATTGTCTTCAGTGAGTCCTATTGTGGAACTCCTCAGCAGATATTTGAATTGTAAAAAAATTTTCTTTCGCAGTATGAAAAATAATTTTAATGAATCCAATGTGAAGTAAACACTGTGTTGTTGATATGATGGTGGCAAATCGAGAAGTGAAGACAAAGATTTTGGATTATATTTCCAGGAAAATTCATTCTGACTACCCATTTTAGTGTGAAATTTCTAAATAACATTTAGACTTGTAGTATAAAATGCTTAGTGTCTAGTTGTTAGTTCTTCTAATTCATCTTGATCCTGAGGAAAAATCATAGTTTAAATATGTCATCGGAAAAGGATTTAAACCAATACTTAGTTTTTCATGTTATCTGCTCTTAACTTTCTAACCACAATGCAATTATCGCTCAACTGTCTTACCTAGTACACGATTCTTGTTACAGAAAACTAAGATTTCACATTCTAACATCTCACAGCTACCCACTATAATGATCTCAGTTTAATTGTATTGTTATACAAGACGAATCAACGAGTTAACAATAACTATTTTCTGAAATCTTGCACTCACTAAACAACATGAAATTTAACATTGTTCCAGAAAAACACTTTAGTGATCCCTTGAAGTTAATTCAATAGCCCAAAATAGAATCAGGAACGAATAGACATAAGATCGTCATCAATATATATATGATCAGATCACGGTAAAATACATAGTTACGAACAAACCGCTAACAATAGAATAAAGAAACTAAACGAGTTATAAGATTCGATAGGAAAATTAGAAGATTAATATCAATTACTTTATTGTATTCTACAGTTAGATTAGTACATAGTTTCGAATTTTTACATTTTAGGAAAGGTAAAGCAAATGTCATCAAAGAGTGAAGGAATCTAACAAGCTATCTCATTCACTGTCAGCTAAACTACCATCCAACAATCTACCACTATGACAAATATAGATCTTGAAACCCTATGATGTCTTTGTCTACATTGTTGACTAATTACTTAACAGTTTTGTAGTGTTCATCTAGCGTACAACGAACATGTAAAGCACTTTGTGCACTAAAGTTAGACTAGGGGCATGTAAATGACTAAATCAAACTGCAAACTCATTAATCTTTATTCTAATCCAATATAATAGATCTACAAAAGTGTGTATAACACACATCAAAACAGAATAATTAGGATGAATTTCAAAGAAACAGTATGAAGTAAAGTATTTGTTTAAATTGGATAGAGTGAAAGAGTAAAAATATCGAAACCGATTAACTAAAATGATTCTAAGCTTTCTAATCAATGATAAATTACTAAGAGATATATTTGACACCAGTCACATATATTAGACAGAAAAAACGAATCCAATTTTTCTTGTATAAATTACATGACACACTGAATTTGAACCTAATTCTAATTGATATAAATATGTAACCGAAGGGTTAATAAAAACAAAACAATATGTTACATTTATCAAAATCAAAAAAACATGCTTCAGATTCCTTTAGAAAGGAATCAAGAAATGAATGTAACTCGCTGTATGACAACTAGTTGATGGTTAAATTATGATACAGTGTTTATTTATTTGAACAAATAAACATTGGTACGAGAAGGCACCAAATAGATATGAGCCGCCACATAAATCATTCTATTTGTGTGAAGTCTGGGATACTGTCTGGGTGCCCAAACCGAAGCAGGTGGTTTTCTTAGGATGCTTCACTTCAAGCCTTTGACCTAAAGGCCTGATCCACAAGGCAGTGGAACAACGTAAGCAAATGCAGTCCCATGGTAGCTGGTGACCAACAATAGGTTCATGCTCCGTTTGTTCCTTCATGACACTGGAGCCCATGTACACCATTAGTTTGGAATCATTGTTTCCCAACTCTCCAAGGTGTCCATCAACCCAGTTACAGCGCCGGACATTCACTTTTCGTCCTTTCAATTTCGTAAACAACAGTAATGCCGCGAGAAGGCAGTGAGCAGGACTGTATAGGAGTGGCCATGTGAAAGCATTTCAAGTGGGAGAGCTGACTCTCCCCGCTCTCGACATCGGTGTAATCACAATTTCTTTTAATCTCAATTAGAATTGCAAAATTCATTTAACTGCTCATTTTAATTTATACATAGATATCAATAGAAATATAATATCAGATCCAATGAAGAATAATAGTCAAGAGCCCTGATCAAAAAATCAGCTACCATTTGGAGGAATGAACAAAGAAATCTATCCCAATGTTAAAATTGGTATAAAAAATTTTTATAGGACTACTAAGTCTGTTTAGTAAATGTGTGTACATTAGTGACTCTCAGGAAAAACCATAGTTACTGTTTGATCACATTTAACCTTTTATTTTGAAAACAAACTAAAAAGAGTCTACAATTATGTAGCTGAAGTTCAAGTGATATCCACTTCAGATTTTTAGAGATTAGGAAGCTTAAAAGTGTTTAGATTTGTCATAAACCTAGAGCTGTTTAGGTCACGATTAAATTTCAAGTAAATTTGTCGGTAACCACGTACAACAAACAACTTAACATGGACAACCTGATAAAGACTAGAGGCGAGACTACAATTTATGGGCGAACCAATCAGATTTAGAAAAACAAGTGTTGGATTTTGGCGAAAAATTAATTCATCCATCTAAATAGGGTTTTTGTATTTTAGCTGGTCAGTTTGTGACGAAAACAATAAATCTAATTCCTAACACTGTAAATCATATATATAATTCCTCACATTGGTTTATAACCTCCATTTAGTCCCACTTAGTAGGTGGGCATTCTCAAGATCACTTTAGCTTCGCTCAAAGGTCGTCCATAAATTATCCTGTTATGTATGTATCACGAGCAACATAATGTTGGGTGCGTGCATTGTGTGATATAAAAACAGCTGGATTGTGAACGGCACGTTTATTTTAACACATCTTGTTGAAACGCTGTTTTTGGTAGTGGATAAGAAATTTTAGAAATAATTTTTCTGTTTGTCGGTCCTCACAGGTAAAACGTATCTATGAAAATGCTCGATGAATGATGGTAATTAACAAGAATCATCAGTTAAATGTCTCATTCTAGTTGGTACTCATTAGCGGGATGTATTTTCGATTTTGCATAAACTGATGATGCCAAGAAAACACTACGATTTCGAGGTATTTAGAATACTGATTACATTACTGCATGATCCAGAGTTTGATCAGCACAAAGAACTAGACATGATATTGGTTAGTCCTTAGTGATCAGTCAATACAATTATCATAAACTCACAATGTTCAACAGTGATCAGTTTGCATTGGTTGCAAAATCTCTGACACAGTTTCACTAATAATATGAGCCAACTAAAATCTAGACAATTAAACGAATAGAAAACCATAGCCAAAACAATCTAGGTAACACCAACACCATTTTCATCCTAATTTATAAATATATATTTCCATAGTTTAGATCATGAGTCAATTGAAGCTAGACCACCATGGAAAACCTGGAACGACTGGACGTCCATTTCATCCTAGTATGGGACTCCTAAGCAGTGTGCATCCACGATCCCGCCTCACGAGTTCCAACCCAGGACCTATCAGCCTTGCGCGCGAACGCTTAACTTCTAGATCACTGAGCCGGCCGGCATCCAACAGTGTCGATGTCTAACTTCAACTAATTCACAGAATTGAGCGACACATCCAACATTGTCTTCAGTGAGTTACTATCATCTCACAACACACTCGGTTGAACTCCACTGGTCACTTCTTCTTACTATAACTCCAGGTAATACCTCTTGAAGCCAGTCACTAGTTAACATATGTTGATTAATATCAGAAGGGATCTTGTGGATATTATAGTAATTTCAATAGTTGAAATCATGAGTCAATTGAAGCTATATATATTTATACAAAACCATTGAAGCATTTAACAATTGATACATACACCAAAACAAAAAAGTGACTTTTTACACTGTGTATTTCTGTTTTACGAGGGAGGGTCAAACTTTAAAAAAAGGAACTAGAAAAATCAATTACATTTTTTAAATATATTTTCTAAATTAAATACCGGCGCCTAAATCTTTTACAGTTACACTAATAATATTTACATCTTCTAATGGTTTATCATTTTTTGGATTTGTTTTAATATTCGATATCTTTTGAACAACTTCCATACCTTTGATAACACGACCAAATACTGTATGTTTATTGTCTAACCAAGGCTAGAAATAATAATGAAATAATGAAAAAGAAATTGTAGCGATAATAATAGGATTAGGAAAGTAAAATTGTTCTAAAAATTATAATAATTTCAATAGGTGAGACCATGAGTCAATTGAAGTTAGACAACCATGGAAAACCTGGACGGCTGTTCCGCCCTATTGCGGAACTCTTCAGCAGTATGCATCCACGATCCCGCAATCGGGAGTCGAAACCAAGACCTTTTGTTTCGCACGCGAACGCTTAACCTCTAGATCACTGAGCCGGCATCCAACGGCGTTAATGTCTAAATTCAACTAATCCACGAAATTGAGCGACACATCCATCATTGTCTTCAGTGAGTTACTATCTCTGCTGAGGAACCCACAATAGGACGGAACGGCCGTCCAGTGCTTCCAGGTTTTCCATGGTGGTCTAGCTTCAATTGACTCATGATCATAACTATTGAAAAAAATAATATGTTGATAAAAATTGAAGTCAGTCAAGGGTAACGAAGAATTTAGTACATCTTTGACATAACAGAGTAGTAGTGTAATGAACGAAGACTTGATGGGGTGGGGTGGGTGAACCAATGAATCATTTCATGTCAAAATTACAAAGTGCCTTTGTAAAATATGAAAATCATACATTCAATACACCATTTGCATATCTTTCCTCAGTTATCATTTACACACTCCATGATTCTTCCAATTCTGTTGTTATCACAATTGCTCTCTATTTTCGTTGCTGTTCACTTCAATTTAACCTTCTGCTGACAGACATTTCACCTACGATTACTGCTATATACTACTTATATCTATTAGAGTAAGAAGTATATACCACAGTAGTGGTAATAGGAAAGATTACTTACTTACGCCTGTTATCCTTAGTGGAGGAGCATAGGCCTCTCACCAACATTCCCCATCCAACTATGTCCTAGGCAATCCTTTCCAGTTGCTATTCATTCTTTTCATGTCTGCTTCCTATTCCTAGTGCAATGTGTTTCTTGGTCTTCATCGTTTCTGTTTCCCTTCAGAATCCCAAGTTAGCGTTCGCCTCGTGATGAAGTTTGATGATTTGAGTAAAGTATGTCCTATCCACTTCCATCGTCTATTCTTAATTTCCTCTCCGTCTAGAAGCTAATTTGTTCTCTCCCAAAAGGAAAGATTAGGTATCGACAATAGTCATAGAATACCTTCAACCACCATCATACATCTTAACATAGTGAACATAATGTCGGGTCACTTAGTGGTTACATTGCAATTTGACCAACAGGATTCTATTAACTCAAAGAGTAACTTAACATATATGACAATGGTCACTATTCAGTGATCAATCAAATGCAATGATTTCATGAACTGACATAACCTATCGGTTTGACCGCCTCTAGCTTTTTCAATAACAACTCCTATCGCAGCAAACATTATATTCAAAGTTCTTTTATCATCGAGAAGTAGTGTTAGCTGGAAAAGAATTAGCAAGACGGAAAGTACTGCATATCCTAGTAAAGATTCATTGTGGAGAGTAATAAGTGAGTACATTTAAAACGATCAGATAGTGTTCTAAGTATTTTAATAGTTTTTTTATAGTTCACGTTAGATCATAATGAAAATTACCTTCAACATGTTCTCAAGTTATTGTGAGTAAACAGAAATACGGATACCGAATCAATAAAACGTGTATAAAACGGAGTCATAATTTACCTCAAAATTCATGTACAAGGTCATGTTTTGCTTTTCTATGTAGTTATTATTCAGCTACTAAGGCTATAGTTATATAGGAGATAGGTTCAAACCTGGAACATAATGATAACTGAGAGTTCAGTACTGTAAACTTCAAACCATCACATTATTATTAACATTGATAATCATATAAGAATTAAGACAGTTACCACCTAATGGCATTGAATGATGAACACGTTGATAGAAGTTGAAATCATGAACTTTACAATTTAAACTTATTATTTCAAAGGTCCATCGTGTTTGTAGTAAGATTTAAATGTCCTGAGCTCTCTATAGACTTTATATATAATCTGATTAAATATTCAATTTTATTGAGATTTCATAAAATTAAATAAATACAATTACGGAAAGGGACAAACAGACAAGATACTTACAGTTGGAGCAACAGTTATAAAGAATTGAGAACCATTAGTATTAGGACCGGCATTAGCCATACTGACAGTGTATGGTCGATCATGTCTTAGACTAGGATGAAATTCATCTTCGAATTCACCACCCCATAAAGATTCTCCACCGGTACCCGTGCCTATATACAAAAATACATAGCTAATTGTACTTCAATAACATTTGCTATTTATAAACTTTACAAATCATATAAATAGCGATTTAACAATAAAATCAGCAGTTTCGTCAATAAATTGATGTGTATTAACTAGATTTCATATTATTGCATGAACTAAACAATTATGACATCGTTTGACGAGGAAGAATTATGGTTCTTTAAAAAGAACAATTTGTGAAAAACAAACATGAAATAACCAGCTGACTAACTTCTATAGCTGGGTTCCATTAAGTAGAAAGAGAAATCTTATTCACTCTTTATGTTACCGAATACATCGGATATATAGTACAGAATGCATTGATGAAGAACTCGCATACCTTGGAAAAACTCTTCGTATCCAACTCCTTAAAACAGTGGAAGCTCCTGCCATTCGAAAGAAGTACGCCTTATCGTTATCGTTATATTGGTCTTAATGTATCATTAATGCATTTCGTATTTGAAAATATCCTCCTGTTACTTTACTTATGTTTCATATCCTCATGATTTTATTCATAATTGTTCCTGATATCATTTTACTTCATATTTACAACTCTATTACCTTTAATTATTGTAACAACAACATTTTGATAGGTTAAGCGTTCGCGTACGAGACCAAAGTCCCTAGGTTCGAGTCCCGTGTGCGGAGTTGTGGATGCACACTGCTTAGGAGTCGCATACTAGGGCGAAACAGCCATCCAGTGCTATCAAGTTTCCAATGGTGGTTTATCTTATATCGACTCATGAATTCAACCATTAAAATTACTACAATATCCACAAACTCCCATATTGATAAAAAAAAATTAATCATCTTCATTCACACTATAATCCGTTCTTAGCTTATTAATTTTACAAGGATTTTTCATCTACATGAACACAATATTTTATTAGCAAAGATAGATAGTGACTAGCGGTGGAATACAGGACGCGCGTTTCGTCCTATTTGGGACTCGTCAGCTAGATGTACCTGCATCTCAGACTTGGTGTTCACTCTGGGCCTCGAACTCAGTACCGTTCGTTTCGAATGCCATCACGTTATCCACTTAGTAAACACTACGAAGGGAATTTTGCAGTGATTTATTGTTATTAGGCATATTACGTGATCTAGCATTATAATCTTCTTATTACATCATCATGTTTATTCCTTGTTCATATGTCCTCATGGAACCAGTACTTTAACATAAAAAAATTTCATACGATTGTAAAGCTTGATAATAAAATCGTTGAAAAAAAGATTCCTTAGATGAACTTCGTATTTTTAATTATGACATTATTAAACTATAATGAAGTGTTTCAATCGAATCTCCTTTGAAACTATTTTCTACAATGTTTAATTTTTCGAATTTAAAGACCACATACTGACATATTAGTGTTTTACGGATGTATAAGGAAATTTTTTTTAAAATTAAAGATGAATATTAGTCAGTCAAAGGTAACGTATAACTTGGCACATATGTACATCAGTTCAAGTTGCTATATCCTATTAGTGCAATGAAATAAAAATTATCAGGGCGAATCCCGGAGTAATGGGGGGTAGTAACAATGCTGGTTGTAATAGAAAAGATCAAGCATCGAAGATACGATTTGAGAAAATACAAATTGGTGAAATACGAAAAAAAGATCGGGAATTTAGAAACTAAGGATTCCAGAGAAAACAGTGAGTGAATACACCTGCGTCATTACAAACGATTTTGAGCAATATCATTCAGTTTCTAACTATTGGTTACAACAATCACGCGAACTGCAGCCAGGTTGCCTGTATCTACCTACATGGACCAGTCCAGTAGCACCTGTTTTTATGAACTGATGATGCGTTTTGGTTTAGCCGCCCACAACTTCATCCAGCCTACTCCTACACTGGTCATTATAGTACATCGATGTGGTTTGTGGATGGGCATACGTAACAAATGTCCTGATCACCTCAGTCGATAATGGTTCAGTATCTCGTCAATCGATTGATTTATTCATCTATTTGCCTACACCTAACATCGGCATTGCTCATTCGGTAGTCCCAAAATTCCCAAGCAATGCTTTGAAGACATTTATGATTAAATAATAATCACCTAAAAAATATCCTCCTCGTTTCACAATCATAAAGTAGAATGGAGAAAACTGCTGCGCAGTACATTCATCCTTTAGTTGGTATACAGATATCTCGCCTATACAGTAAGTTAGCAATAATGAATGTAAAAATAAGTGAGAGTTGATGAGAACAATTTAAATTCTGTAATGCTGATTCAACAACTTGACGCTTAACTATTAACGAAACAATACAGTTATTCATTCCAGGAATCATTGGATATTGAAACTAAGAAGTAGTTTTCTCCAACTGTATAGGTGCAATGTTATCGGAGCCACTAATTATGCAGTCTTCATTATATATATATATATATATATATATATATATATATATATATATATATATATATATATATAAGGATGAAAGTTAAAATTAGGTCATAGATATCTTAGAAGTCTTGCACTCAACCGATAGTCATCAACAAATACCACGGTTTTTTCCTTAGCTGACCAGATAGTTTCCACAAACGTACCATTACCGATTTGTTTAACATGAGATAAATATAATTTATGTATAAAGGCAATTTAAATAAAGTTCCCTCTCTTTTTCACTTACCTAAAGGACAACCAGTTTGAATCATGAAACCTTTAATAACTCTATGAAATATATGACCATTATAATAGCCAGCTCTTGAATGTCCAACGAAATTCTCTACTGTTCTAGGGCATTCTCTAGGACATAAACGAATATGTATATCACCTAAAGTTGTATGTAGAATAGCGCTACCAGCTAATCGTGAAGCAGCTGTTGCTGAATCTCTTGTTGCAGCTAATACTTCTTCTTTAGTTGGTTTCTCATTGAATACATCACGTTCGGCAGTAGATCCTGATGTGACTGTATCACCACTGAGGTGAAGAGAGAAAAAACACGACAAAAAATATATTGTTAGCATGAAACAGAGATGTGGAAATTAATCGTTAGATGTTGATATTAAAAGTACTTGTTGTCCTGAATTATATTCCATAACAAGATGTCATGAATGAATCATTTAGTCACTGATATTTTATAATACTATTATCACTGATTAGATTGTGTGTTTTTTTCAAGTACCTAGTTAGTTCAGTAAATTTTTTTCAGATTCTGATGGAGATTATGAATCGACCAGTGTTAAACCACTATTGAAAACCTGGAAGCACTGAACAGCCGATTAGATCCAATGGTGGTTTAACATTGACCCAGTCATGATCTCAATCAAAAACTTAACAATCTCCACAACCTTATACTGATATTTTTCGGATTCGTCTTTTTTTCAAGGCGATAACTGAAAACAATGTAAATTTTGGTTTATTAATTTTATCACTTGGATTTCAACCAAAAGAGGTTATGAATTCTAACTTTACTTAATACAATTTACTAGCTGAACTTAAATTTATCATTAATAACTTCAGTTAATCCATGATATAAGCCAATTATTGGAGATAAACATCAATTAATCACAATGTTACATCGTCAACTGACTAGAAAGTGTAAAAATATGAAATCCATAAGAACCTAACCCAGTGACTACTACCCTATTGTACTTCCTTAATGATCTGAAGTTCTTGGGGTTTGATTCACTAAACGGCACTATTGTAGTTCTAAACTATTGTCCCTTGTTTTATCACTTTATGATGAATAATGCCAAAGCTAACAAACGATTAAATATGTAGTTTTGGGGATGTATGTCATTAGTAAGATGAAACCAAACATTTCTATTTTGATTTCAAACAAATGAATCATTTTTCGGTCCAACTAAACAGTAGTACTTAGACAGGATCAGTAAAGGCTGAGGAGTCCCATGCTAGGACGAAACGGCCGTCCAGTAATTCCAGGTTTTTAATGGTGGTCTAACATTGATCCATTCATGATATCAATTTAAAGTCATCATAAAGATTGTGTATGTATGTGTGTATTATAGATATATACATACATATAATACAACACTGGGTAATTTCTTAGTTTGATAGCTATTATTGACATCGATAAAGACCATTATCATCATGATTGAAAAACATTTTTCTTTTAACTTGTCAAAAAGAGAAAAGGAAAGACTGTGAAAATGATGTGCAAAAAAGTAAAGGAAAAATAAACGAAGAGTTTGAAAGTAAGTTAAAAAGACGATTTTCTTATTATTGTCTACATACATACATACATACATACATACAGGCAAAAGCACAAAATCTCTAACATTGAATATGAAGAGCATAATCATTACAAATGAATCAATAATTTGTGAATAAATGAACCCAACCCACAACAGATGAATGAATGTAAGATATATGTGTGTAGATAGACATTACTGTGCTAAAAACTAATGAAAACAAATTGTGATTGATAGTTCTAATAATAAAATACAGAAATAAATAGAGACAGAGAGGAAGATAAAGGTAAAATGAAGTGAGAGTGCTATAAACTGTATACACCAATAGGATTCTGATAATAATGTTGATTTACAGCACAGCGGGTATTTTAAGGCAGACAAAAGTAACAATAAAAAAATATTGGCATATGTAAAAGTATAATGAATGACTGGTTAACTCTTGCTGAACTATATATTTATCAGAGCAGTTGAAAAGAAGAAACATCACGATTTTTGGAGAGATTTAGAAACTAACGTAATAACAGATATGAATGATGACTAGCAGTGGAATACAGGACGCGCGTTCCGTCCTATTTAGGACTACTCAGCTGGATGAGCCTGCATTCAAGAGATGATGCTCACTCCGGCACTTGAACTCGGTACCGTTCGCTACAAACACCATCACATCATACACTTAACAACTGAAGCATCTAACGGTGTTAAAGTCTAACTTCAATAGATCCACAACCCTTTAGCCATTCTCTTAGCTTAGATAGACTGGTGAATTCAACTGTGAAAATAATACAATCCCCATACTGATAATCATTACTTCGTTTACTTGAACCTTCATTCAATTAACATTTATGTAATTTTCATATAAAATGCTTTGACAAGTATATGTGTGACCCGACTGTTTGAAATGTATGGCGCAAACAGATCACATTTTTCAAATCAACTTCGTCTTCTCATTGTTCTATCGATATTCATATATACATAGGTAACAGAAAAAAATTAGGAAAAGGAAAGCACATAAACTGAAAAGGATGGTGCTTTTTGTTGTAACAGGACGAACATCGCATACATCTTAACTCTATGTTTATATATCCCGTCTATCATACGTCTTCATTTTAGGATCCAGGTTAAGCTCACTGACGAGTCTGAACTAGGAGGAAACGTCCGTGTTCATTATCATTACAGGTCACTATCAAATTCTACTTGTAATCATTATTAGACTGCTTATTATTTCTATTTTATTACCAATCTATCACTTACGGGTTGCCCTATTCAAAATGACTTTTGGTTTAATCATGTATAGTTGTGATTGTGATATATAAACACATATGTACTTGAATTATAATGACAATACAAGCCGGCTTCTGACTTCACTTTCCATGCAAAGCAAGGGATAGAGAAAAATTTGTGAATAGAGAGCCAATAGGAGATTAGTTTACGTTGACTGAAGGTTAACTGTGCAGGTCAGGTCATATAATTGGCTAATTCTAGTATGCTAAGCTACAGATGGAATTTTGGAAGCAAGATAGGAAAAAATTATGGTCGGAATTCGGATTGGTAAATTTAGAATATGATATCGATTAGCGTCTCAAGTTATGATTCACATGTTGTCGTTTCGATATCTATGGGAGTAAATTATGCATTATTTAATTGTGAAATATATTTTATTTTACAGATTGAAATCACGAATCAATTGAAGCTAGACCACCATGAAAAACCTGGAAGCACTGGACGGCCGTTTCGTCTTAGTATGGGACTCCTCAGCAGTGCGCATCCACGATCCCGCACCCCGCGAGATTCGAACCAAGGACCTATCAGTCTCGCGCCAGGCGCATAACCAACTAGACCACTGAGCCGGCCGATATCCAACGGTGTCAATGTCTAACTTCAACCAATCCACGAATTTGCACAACCGTACACCATTGTCTTCAGTGAGCTGATATCTCACAACAGACCTGGTTGAACTCCAGGTTTTCCATGGTGATCTAGCTTCAGTTGACTCATGATTTCAATCTGTGAAATTTCTACAGTCTCCACAAACCCCTTCTGATATATTTTATTCCAAATATACTTTCATGTAGACATTTTTAATCTTTCTTTTATTAATTTAACTGACCTATTGTTAGTAATTGTGTTATCCTGAAACAGTATAACAATTTATTAAACAATAATGTACTGTTTCGACTAGTCCATAAGGCACTACTATTCTTATGGAGATAGATAGCAAAACAGTCGAATAGGTTATCACAAAAATATGAACAATTAATAGTGAAAATGAATGAATCAGTTAACATAAGCAACAACGATTTAAGAAGAGCATCCATAAAGACATTAAATACATACAAAAAAGTAATATAATTGTGAGTAGAGATGGACGGACTCATATTACAACAAGACGATAATGCTCGTTGCAACATGAAATACGCAGCATAATCATAGAAGTGCTCAGCTTCAATACTAATTCTAAATACAGATAACTATAATGTCTTGGTCAATGGGAATCAGTAGTCAAATTAGAATAATCTACAATATATCCATTACTTCAATAATTATTTGATACCACTAATCAACTAAACACAGGTTTACATTATTAAAATTAGAGTTACTATATTAGTTTCCCGCTGTTTAAACTGAATTGGGTAGAGTTTACACCAAATTTACAAATGAATGATTGGACGTTCAGTTTTGAAACCACTTAGATGGATTTCGACAAAACTATCACATGATTGAATAGGGTATACGATGATCAACGGTTAGCTGCTACGTTGATGCAGTGTTCAGGCTTCCAAGTCTTAACGACACATTTGAGCCATGCATGATGGTACATTTATTCAAAGCAGTCCTACCATGTTAAACAGGTCTGTTAAACAGTAGTAATACCAAATTAAGCAAACATAAGACCAAAAGGTGATGTCGTACTATCGACCAAAGTATGATGTGGTGGTAGTAAAGACCATGAATAACCAAGACTTTTATCGACGTTGTATTTCAACAGACAAAAAAAGATCAGATAAGGTTAGTCAAATAAATAGCACACTTTCTTTGTTTCATAAATTTTGGGTAATGGTCATGACTGGCTTACTAAAGCTACACAATAAGTGAACTAAATTCCAAAAAAATTAAACCGATATGTCTTTTGATAAGTGGTTTGGTCAAAGTTAATTCAGCATTCAAAAACGCCATGGATCCACAATTACTTTACAATTAATGATGTTGATTAACAATGCTATTGAGTGGGAAACAATATGGCAGATTATTTACATTATATTAGAATTTCCTTTATTTACACTAAATGCATTTTATTGCGATGTCTTACACACTTTAACAGCCTAACTAAGGAAGTCTCAAAGAAAAGACACGATGACACAACAATTATTAATTATCGGTATAGGGTTGCGGAGATTATTGAGTTTAAATTGATAACATGAAAGGATGAATGTTAGACCACGCACTGTCGAGGAGCCGAATACTAGGACGAAACGGCCGTCCAGTGCTTCCAAGTTTTCAATGGTGGTTTAACATTGATCCATCCATCATATCAATCCAAATTATTAATTAATCTTGTAAACAAAGGTGATTTGATTTGTTGTGCTAAAATCAATATATAATGAACAAAAGATTTCATTGAACAATTAAAACAAAAAAAATGATCAAACAATAGTAACATACTCAGATTTTACATCATGTGGTTCACGATTTGTAAATAAATAGATACGATTTTTCTTGAATGCAGTACATACTATTACAGGTGTACACATTACTGCTGGATTACACGGAGTGGCACTATTGTTACTCGGGGTTAGTGAATCATTTGCCATAGCAAGCATTTCTAAACTAGGCACACAAGATGATGTCCCAGAACCAATGTTAGTTGAACCATAAAATATTGAAGTACTACGTGGTGGCATAAAAGCAAGTTGAATAAAACGCAGATTCTCTGGTCCACCAAGATTTCTAACTACACGATTTGATATGATATTAATAATTTTTATGCCTAATAAAGTAGCGTAGGCTAAAAAATTACTAGAAGAGTCAAACACTGAAAAAATGAAAAAAACAACAGCGATAGGTTATAGTTCAACAAAGATAACATTTAAGTAGTTAAGCAATAAATAAAAATGAGATTGGTTTATATGACTATAAATGATTGACATCCAATAGTTTACATTATGAACAGACCTTTGTTAAACAACTATTGGAAACCAAGAAGAACTAAACAACTGGTTTTTCTTGATATGAGACTCCTTAGCATCAATTATAATCATCTGTACATTAGTGACTAATTTGGAGAAATAATATTCAGAGTTATAATGAAAAGATATGACTAGTTGATTTCAGCTATTAAAATTTGAGGTAGTTACTCACTAATTCATCTTAGAAGATAGTTGAGGAATATCACAAATTAATTGAACCTATAGATGTAAATCATTTAATAATGATTCAACAGTGTTGATGTTAGAGGCTTATTCAGACAACTCAGTGTTCTGAGTTCGGCCATGGGTGTGAACTCCTAGGACCAAAAACAGCTATCTGGAACTTCCCGTTTTCAGTGGTTATCTAAGATCAGTTCGTGAAAAAAACCATACAATCCAATAATCTCCACAGATATCTTACAATATTAATTAGGATTCAGTTAAATTTAGACATTATGGTTGAGAAGGAAACGACTGTTAGGTTTATTGGATTACAGCAGAATATCAAATACAACCAATGGCACTCGAACGTATGGAAACCCACAGTCGCAAACCAAAAGTTGGAAGAAGTAGGAATGTGATCGTTGCGTAAGAATCAAAAAATGCACAGAAAAACACGGGTATTTATAGCTATTAGCGTTGGCTATAACACAATTATAATTCAGCTCATCCATGGTCGTTCAATCGTAGCACGCCACCTCGATATTCTAGAAAGTCCTATCAGGTTCTGACTGGATGGAATCTCTCCGACTCCTTTATAGCCTCTGGAGACCTCGTCATGCTTCCCAAAAGCCATCCTAACAACAACTATTTTATGCACGACATTAGTTATAGTCATTATCATAGTTATAGTATTACAACATTTAAAAGCAATTCTAGATATATTTTCAGCAACAGAAACTTAACAAAACGGAAAGAGTACGGCTGAAAAGTCAACAAATGCAATACTTATGTAGCTATCAAACAATTTAGAGAATTTTCATTGAACAGAGAAGAATGTACCACATATTATTAAACTTAATTTTATCGCATCAACATCTTCATAACAAAGCAGGTTAAGTATAAATGAACTGTATAAAATAAACACTTACCTAAGTTACAACTATGCTTAAATTCTGAACGATCAAGTTCTTTTTCCTGCGCCAAACGGCGACCGAATTCCATACTAGGTAGCAATTGTTTAGTCTGTAAAAAAAACCAACATGAAATACTAACGAAAAGTTTAATATTTTGCTTATAAGTATGTGACTACTTATAAGTAGGAAAACCCATATTAGTGGAAATATTTTGCCAAATGGTTTGTTACAAATATGAGTATCGACAACATTAGTCTTTTCAAGAGTATAAATTACTAAATAAATGGAAAACAAGAAAAGAACTGTCAAAAAGTTTTAATATCATCAAGAGAGAGGAGGGAATCAAAGTACATAAACAGAAAGTCTGAACATTATTCTGTAATCAAAAGTTTATGTTCTTTTACTTAAAGATATTGTATAATAACTAGGGGCCAATTAAACAAAGAGAAACCCCTGATTTAATTTGTTAAACATGAAGATGAACTAGGTAGAGATTCGCAACTGATAAATTCGCTTTTTACAACAATGTGCGCTAATATATCAATAAACACACATCTATCTCCAAAATAGTAGATAATTAGAATAACATACAAACCATATGTTTAAAAACAGAAAGAAATAGAGATATAATAACGATTCTCATACGACAATTGTCGATACAAAATAGCTCTGACTAATCAAGCCGTAAAAATAGATGGACTTAAAACTGATGTGAAGGAATACACTATCCAATGTTATTAATTTTTCCGACCACACATAGAAGCATCACTCGAAAGTAGAAAGAACTATTCTAGGGCCTGGCAATTTTGTTTAGCTACGCTACCACTTCTTATCAATACCTAAGTGTGAAAGAAGTAAACGTCGAGTGTTCTTACATAAATCAATTAGAAAAAAAACAGATCCGATTTACGATATACCCGTTCAAATTGTCTTATTTCCCGAATGTCATATAGAACAGAAATCAGTTAAAGTTTACAAGATCTAAGTGTATGCTAGTATGAAATAATTTAGTTAAGAGAACAATAATTCATGAATAAAAATGGACCATTTGATTCGTTTTAGTGTAAATCACACATGACTTCAATTACTGAAATCTAGGAGCCATTAAACATAATATGCCTGTAATACAAATGCTATAATCATCGAATCACCTTATTGATTTCGTCATTATCAAACGTCTATCATTCCATCATATTTTATTGTAGATATCATACATTCCAATAAAGAAACTCAATCAAATAGTATATAAATCCAAAATAAAATAATATAAATGTATGTAATGATCTTTGTAGGTTATAGTATTGTCACAAATATATTCACGAATCTAGAAGTTAACCGTTCATGCACAACACCGAAAGTCCTAGGTTCATGTCTCTCATTCAGGGTCATGGATATGCACTGTTAAGGAATCCCATCCGAAGTACTTTCAAATTTTCAATGGCGATCTAACTTAGATCAACTTGTGAATTTAACTGTGAAAATAATGAATAAATTTGGTTAATTATTACCAACCTGTTGTAAATTAGAATATTGTTGAAGGCTTTCATCATAAACACGAATTAATTTTCCGGTAGAAAAACGAAATAATCGAATCTGAAAATATTAAATTATATTAACAGATGGGAATTTATGTAAAACAATGAATAAAGCAATTCATTTGAAAGAAGCATATGAATGACAAATTTCCCTACATAAATAAACAAATAAATTATAATAGTCATCGAATATTATTGAAGATTCATTAACTGGTTGTAGGATTTTCTTTGTTTAATCAAAATTGGAAAAAGCCATATTCTCATTTACTAATTACAAAAAAGAAATAGAAGTCTGAATGAAGATTTTTACATAGTTTTTTACTGTAATGTGGTGTGAGCTACTTATATCCACATAAGTAGTATATAACGATAGTTAAGAATAGAATGAATTTCAGTAGGAGATCGAGAAGGAATAAACGGAAACGGAAAGTAATTGGTATGAAAATGCAGGAACAATAAAATCTGAGACGATAGACTGATATTTGTAAAAGGAATAGTCAATTTTGAGACAATGGATTCATATTTTGCAAATTAAGTATTTACAGTATGGTTCTGATATTAGTGAGATATTCTGTAATTTTGTATTCATATACATTCGACTGAACCCACTCGTGTTCTTGTTCTATTTACAGAATTAGTGATGATTATCTTGTCTAGAATGATGATTAACTCAAAATTTGAGAAGATATCAGTCCGTCTAAATTAATTCAAAATAAAACAATTGTTAGCGGAATATGAATTGGATTGAAGCATGTTCCGTGAAGAATTATGTTGGGATATGCAAATTGGCTATTTCTTAGCCAATCAGAGCTAGTGGATATTTGGAGAAGACTCTAGAACCTTCCCACGTAAAAACTATAAATACACTAACGTCTTTTTATTGTGATCCCTCTACCTCCATCCAATCATTTTATTTGGAATATAATTACGTTCCTATTTAACCGTGTTCTGATTTGGGGACTTGTCGAGTGAAATAGTGTTCAAGAATACTAAGCCATAAGAGTAGCTGGATCGTAATAAGAGAAATTATAAAAACAGTAATTATTTTGAATTTGAAAGACAGAAATCACTGAGGAATGTAGCGATTATGTATTCAACTTGAAAAAAAAAACAACCCATAAACTATCTTTTCTAAAATGATGCAGAAAATATCAGTAATAGTGTGATGTGTGCTACTTATACAGCCAGATATAAGCAGTATGTATCCAGAATCGCAAGTCGGATTCTTACTAACAGAAGAGCAAAATGAGGAGAAGAGAAGGAAAATAAAGAGCGGTCGGAGTGACAACAGGAATAGAAGAACGATGGAGTTTGTAAGGGACAATTCCATGAAGCTGTACAGATGGTGTGTTCAACGTTTTTTTTTAAATTTTACAAATGCACTCTGTAATTTTGCATGACATAATAAATTGGTTTTCCCTACCAAGTCTTCGTTCATTGAGATACTTCGCACATTAATGCTTTTCACAACATATGGATCAAATATCTCCAAGTTATATATTATGTCATAAAAGGATGCAATGAACTGAAAACTAGAGGATAAGTAGTATGTACAAAATTCATTTTTTACAGTTGTAGTTTGATTGAATTATTTACCAAAAGAATTTAGACATTCGTGTTCCCAGTTTAGGATACAGACAATATGTTCTCAAACAGTACGGCGGACAAGTAGCATGATACAATGAACCATGGACGAAAGATTATCACAACAGTAGGAGTGCACTAATGAATCGAAACAAGAGTATAGACGGATTAGATCAAAGGATTGGTCCCAAGAAACAAATCTCACTCATTACACAGGAAAAAAAACAAAGTGTTAGATAAGTCAAACTACTTTACATAAACATTCGTAAAGGTGTTAACGAACAGTTTGACAGAAATTGGACGGCCAGTATATATGTAGGACATACTCCAAATAATCTCAGAGATTGAAATTTCAACAATTCCAATGTCCCATCTAGAAAACGTCTCTGAGTCTCCTTTTTGATAATTTAGATTTCGGTTATTTTCCTCAAACCCATTTGCTGTGAGAAACATCGGAATTAATGAAATTTCAATCTTTGAGGTTATTTGGTGCATAATGTTTTACGTTTAAGTCAGACTACTAAGTATTATTAAGTAGTAGTTCATAACACACAAAAAAACAAAGGAAAACGAAGTTGAGAAATGAAAATGACACTATGAACACTTACTTTTCTATCTGCTCCAAGAACTGCTAAAATCTCACCAGATGGAGAGAACACAACACTGAATGCAAAGGTTTTTTCAGCTAGTAAGCAATAAAAATCTGTATCTGATTTATATTCCCATTTAAGTGTCTGTGGGAAACTGTAATTATTCTTTGGACCAGACCAACATTCCAGCATACCGTCGGAATCAGCGCTTAGTGCACATGCATATACAGGATTAAACTGTGAAATGAATAGAAGATGGGAAATATGTCAAAAGGTAGCAAAAAGAGTTCATGGAAAATCCGAAAGTTTTTTTTTCTAATTTAAGCTTTAGACTTATTTGACACTTTTTGGATGTCTGAAAAAAGTGGACATGGTGACTCGGGCACGACAAACAGTCCAGAAATCTAAAGCTGAGCCATAAGAGAACTGAATATTTCACCACTGACATGTGAGTAAGCGCATCTATTCGACTATGTGATGTAACAAGTATAGATACTCCCAAAACTGTGTGACATTTGCACAACAAATTCTTGAGTTTCTATGAGCGCTACCTTAAGATTAACTATACATCCAATCTTATACCGAGAAACTAAATCCATATGCATATTACTTGAGCCTGTGAAATCATAGTGCAGGATCCGAACCCCAACAGAAAGTCTTCCTTTAAGTGGTAATTAATTAATAGGATATTCCTAGGCCCAAGTTATACAGCGAGATAAAGAAGTGACGACATTTAGTCGAGTGAATGTTAAGTCCTAAATGTATTCAAAGTGACCAGCCTCCCACAAATTAACACCAAAATGGAACTTATTACTATGGGTCAATCTTGTTAGAATGGATCTAATATAACTAAATAATCCTAGGGAACATGTCCACATTTGACTACCTCAAGCAATGAACATGAACAATTTTCTAACCCATCTACTTTGTATCAGTTATCTGAAGTTCAAATCTTCAGTAGGAGATTCGTTCAAGACACTGAAAAAGTTAGCCTAGCCTAGCAACCACTGAGTATACATATATTTAAAATATACTTAAATGTAAGATAAAAAGTTGCATTGAAATAATAAGAGGAAAGTATATTTTATTGCAAACAGAAAGGAGAACAGAAACAATTCAAAAGTAAGACATTTTCAACAAATCAAACCATATTACGAGAAAGAATAAAAAGCCAGCTATACATATCCAAATGTTATCATCAAAAATGGAATTCGAACATAGAATTTATACTAAACATCTAAATAGTCTTTTACTTATCAATAGGAATATTAAATACGACAGTCCTACTGTACAGAGCTGAAACTTGGCGGACTACTACAACCATCAAAAAAGTACATGTATTTATAAGCAATTGTCTACGCAACATATTCAATGTCTGTTGGTCGGATACCATCGACATAAGCCTACTGTGGGAGAGAACGAACCAGCTTCGAGCGGAAGAAGAAATTAGGAAAAGACGATGGAGATGGATAGGACATATATTGTGGAAATCATCAGATTGCATCACGAAGCAACCCCTAACTCGGGACCCGGAAGAGAATAGGAAAGGAGGAAGACTAAGAAACACATTGCACCGGGAATTGGAAGCAGACATTAAAAGAATGGATAGCAACGGGAAGGGACTGCCCAGGACAGTTGATTGAAGAATCCAGGTCGGCGGCTTATGCTCCTCCGCGAGGGGTAATGGGCGTAATTAAGCAAGAAATCTTAATTGATATAGCCACAAAGATATTAAAACTTTAGCCGACAACATTCCATTTTAAGTAAAGAATGGGTGTTTGAAGAAAATCTAATTTTTATTGTCTCAATGATTGTGAACTAGTAAAACGTCAAATCCTACGGTCATATTCATGATAACTCACGTAACTGAGTAATTACATGTATATTCGCTTAGTACGCTGTAATTCACATAAATCATATGATTTCTACTCAAAACAAGATAAATGTAAGGGATTAAACCTAAAACTTAGAAATTAAGTATCGATTGTGTACACCATTCCTAACACCAAAATCTCAAGAGATAAAAACAAGGTATTTGAAAAGTGCTTATAATAGATTATAACTATTAACAGTCTAGTTGACACTAATTAGATATGAACTATATGTAACTAGCACAAAACTGAAATATAAAAACTCACCGCTAAACAAACTATAGGCGCTTCATGTAATTTTTCAATTGTATGTAATAATTCACCTTTGCTACGTGCATCGAATATTCGAATTTTAGAACTATCCTGATCGGATCTACAAATCGGTTTTTAAAAACAACTTTTTTCTTAAATGGTTAGAACTCCATAACTCTGTAAGTAAACAATATTTCTCAAATGTACCGTTATAATATATACTATAAACTACCTTTAACTAACAAACATTTGGATAGGATTAAGCTCACAATTGATGCAATGCAGAAGTTAATGTGTATTATGTTTATAGAAATACTTAATGATTAAATATTAGATAAACAAAATGATTACTGAGAATTGAAGTATTTAGAGTAGGATTTAAGTGAGCAACTAAAAATGATTGAGAGATGAACGCCTAAGTAAGTAAGTAAGTAAGTAAGCAATAATTTCCATATGGTAGGACAATGATCAAAGATGAAAGAAAATTTGTATTGGCTGTAGCACTCCAATTACTTTGCCTATTCATCTTTTGTTGATCTTATATTTGATTCCAGTTAAGTCGTATAATGGTGGTTAACGAAATACGCATGTCGGCTACCCTCATATATAATTATCGACTTAATTCGTGTTACAGAAATAACAGAATGAAATAAATCAAATACGAGAATGAAATTTGAATGCGTATATTTCACACACTCATTAATCCGAACAGACAATCAGAGGAACGAAGTGGCACGCAGCGGAGGAAGCGAGTGAGTCAACTCGATTTGATTAAGCATGACCTAATAATTATAGTCAGACCAAAAATAAGTTACAGACACGTAATGAATAGAGTAAGCAATTAACACATATACACTCAAATAAAAACAGTCAGGCTTAATGAGCGAAGAATCAACAAGACTAAAATGTAGCTTGAGAAGAGTGAATATACTGGTCTGTTCAGAAGCTAGAATAACCTATGTGAGCTTGACATAGTACTAGCCACTACAATTTTTACAACTACCGTCCACATTTCACCTGGATTTTGATGCATAACAGTGGTATTTAACTATAAGGTAAATAAAATTAATGTTGCAGTTTTATAAACAGCTGGTTGATGTTATGTCTAGTTTACCAAATGTTTAATTATACTAACTGAACAATATTTATGATCCTAAAAAATATCTTTGACTGTTGATGTTTGTTTAGAAAATGTTGAACAATTGTTTTATATAGTTAGGGAACTTTACCACAGTACCTTAGAAGAGGTCAAAATAGATCGTCTTGAATTTATACAGGAGAATATTGAACTTTTGATCAAAGACTAGCACCTTCAATATTATTTGTACACTGAATATAATAGTCATCACTAACACAGAATGTTTTAAGAAGGATCAAAAAAAGTATTGGAAAGAATTCTCTGGACTGGCGAAAACAATTGGTTTTTTGACTAATACAATGTCCTATTATCAACGACCAGTCTTTCTCATTGCTATCATATTATTCCGATCTCTCGTTATTATTCTTGCTAATGTTGTACTGGCACAGTATGGGAACTTTAGTAGCTGAAAATCTGTCCCAGACCTTATATCGGCCATGACTGACAAACTGACACAGTACTGCAATAAAATCCAATCCTGATAAAAATATCCTCTTATTTAACGGTCAAATAACTCCACTGAAATCACAAGATGATCACAACCAGACAACCATTGAAAACTTGGAAGCACTGTATGGCTGTTTTGTATTTGTAAATGACGACTCGGCGATGTATCCACGGCCCCGCAAAAAGGAATATAACTCATAACCTTCTGTTTCGCGCGTGAACGCCCAGCCTCTGGATAACTGAGACGGGATTCGATGGTGTATAAGTCTAACTTCAATCAGTCCATGATATTGCGTGACCATATTCTATTATCTTCGTCGAGTGAAATCCTCACACCCGAGACAGTTTAATTCAACTGGTTAAAAGTTCCTACTACAACGCCAGAAATTTCCTCTCGAAGCTATTTATTAGTGAGTACATGATGTATTTTCATTATGAGATCGTGGAAACTGTTGGATTTCGTTTAAATCACAATTGGATCCCGATTCAGTAGTCTAGAGGTTAATAGTTTGCGCACAAGACCGAAGGTCCTGGGTTTGATTCCCGCTTCCGGAGCCGAAGATCGCACTGCTGAGGAGTACTGTACCAAGACGAGGAGGCTATTCAGTGCTCCCAGGTTTTTAATGACTGTTTTACCTTAATCGGCTCGTGATTTCAGTGAAATTCAACAATCTCTGCAACTCCATTATGAAAATTGAGGAGTTATTTTTAAAGTATACAAAATGTTAATGTTGATTGTCTCTGTACAATAACATTAAGATACAGCCCAAATATACTGGTTTTAGAAAAAACCAATGTTTAATAAATAGTAGATTCGACAAATAAACAAATAAACTAATAAACGGCATACATTGCAACTGCAGTGACCTCATCCTTTGGAGTATAAATGAAACAACACCCACTAGGTGAAAAATCTAATTTCATCATACTGATCATATCTATAATTGAATGAAAGCAAGAGAAAAGCATGTTCATAAATAAATACTAGAGACAGTTATAATACTCTAATCTATATATGTTCCACTGTTTATGATAAAACCAGCCAGCAAACATGATCATTATTCTCAAAACTATATGAAAATATGGTAGGAATTTAAATTGTTTATCTTATGTGTATAAAGATAACTGACTAAGTAATTTGATGGCTATACATAGACACCTTGAAGATGGGAATAATGGCCACATATGTATTTTAGGTTGTTAGGGAGACTCAGAAAATTCCTCGGAAAAAGCCCAAAGGGTACCTGAAAACTCTAGGAAACATTTTATCCAATCAGCATCGAATAGAAGTTTCTCAGGAACATCTAGAAAGTGAAGTTACACGTCACATTTCTGATTGGATGATTACCTATCCTGTTACTATCATTAGAAGGGTTCAAGAACTTTATCCACTCAAGTTATTTATTAAGTATATCTTCGTAAGTTATCGCTTTCTACCATTTAAACATATCCACTAATATCCCAGATTTTATTATGTTCAGTCATTCTATCTATTATTGGGCTTATCAGAAATATGTAGTCAAAGTTTTAACTCGACGATGAGTTGTTTGATGCATATAAAGATAATTAGAGGACTTGAATAGGACATATAATCAGCTGCATCAACGTTCAAATGATCAGGAGTGCGTGGTGAAACAATCAGTGTCCTATAACTAAAGATATTATTGTAGGTTTGAGTGTAACAAAAAATCTCTAAACTCCGCACACAATAGATAGGCTATCAGTTTGTCCATTAATGTTATCTGAATGAAAATAGTCGATGAAGGTAACTATGATTCATTTATGTGATTATGATATTCATTACAACCAATGATTTATGACACATGTCGGTTAATCAGTCAGCGTACATCCAGATACGAATGTGTGATGTCCCAAATTGTCATACCACATCACCACGATGACATGAAACGAACATTATGACTAGCAAATGAATCGGAATAATGTGATATCAATGATCATGAGAAAGATTAAACGTTGAGAATACAGTTCGAAAATAATCTCAAAACATTCCATGACATTATAGATGTTTAGCTAGAACTATATATATATCAGTTTATTACTAATTCCAGTGATTGTTTTATGATGATCAAGATTACTTTAATTCATTTACGTGTATCCGTGAAGAAAAGCTCCTGGGTATGTAGTTCATATGCTCCTTTTTAACCAAATGTTCATAGAACGTACAAAAGTGCATTACTTAAAAGCTATCTATAAAAAATACTGCAAATTAAACAGATAGAGAATACATAAGAAATGAACAAAATTTAAGCCTGTCAAAACGATGAAAGGACAATTGATCTGAATCTTTTGATAACTCACCGAAATTAATAACATCAAAAACCTTGGCAGTTTTATCATCACCAACAGTACAGGCTAATTCACCATCACAGCTAACTGACAAGCCAAGAATAGCTCCTGCATTTGACGGTTAAATGAAAGTCAAATGAATGGATTTTATTTAGAGTGGAAATATTTAAAAAGAATATACATAACACATTATCATTATAATTCGTGGTTAGAATTCCAGAAAATAAAGTCAAGTAATTAGTTGATTTAAAAAATGAACTGATCAAAATACTTGATTTTTTATGCACTATGGAGAAATGAAACTTTTGAATATTTGGTTAAGTTAAAATTGATTCAGAAGTAGAATAATAATTACACGTTATAATTAGCGAAACAGCGATCCAGTATTCTTCTGTTCTAAATAATTTCTAACTCTATATCAATCCATAGTAAGTGGCAATTTAAATCTACACTAACCTCTACAAACGTCTATCAACGGACATGACGTTTAGTCATCGATTTACAAACCAAATTTTATTGCTTTGATTATGACATTCACAGTCACCAAAACTATCATTAACTTTCTGCGTCAAGATATAACATACAGTTCAGTGTATAAGTGAACTATCAGCTTTGATCAAGTTTGACCAACTTATTCAGAAAGTACATAACATAGAAAATATATTCATTACAATCTATTGTTTTGGATGAAAACAGCTAGTCGCAAACTCCAGAACACCTTAAAAGTTTTGAATGATAAACAACCCAATACTGACGTGAAATATTTGTCTGACGTTCTTTTACATCTAAAAGTGTTCAAATGACTCCTTCAAAGCTTATACACCAATAGGTTACGATCTGAAACGGGCAGTTATTGATATGAAGACTATCCTTCAGAAATAGAAATCTGACTGTTAACAGATAATCAGAAAAAAAAACGTAATTTACACGGTTTTGAAAATCTTTAGGCATTGTTTTATGCTGATAAGATCGTCACAATAGTTTAGCTCAAATACATAGATCACTCTCAATCAAAAGTACAAAAGATTTTCCTGCATCAGCTATGGAAATTGACATTATTGTAAACTCTGTCTTGATATTAGATGTGTGAAGTCAGTCGGCAAAAGCCTAAGACCTAAATATATTGATAATCGGCAAATGTCGTCTGTGTGTAAATAAATTCCAACCCAGAAAATCCACTATAGAAGTCAGAGATATCTTCACTAAGCTAGGCAATGAATAACCTATACAACTAAGATGGGAGAGAGTTATACAGCAAACACATAATACCGAAAGGACGGGATGCTTTAAGATAGCAAATATACTAATCGAAACAGGATGATGAAATCAAGATGGCAAAGAGAAAAAGAAAGGTCTGTTACAGATTCTTACCTAAATGTGCTCGGTAGTGTTTGATAAACTCTAGTCCAACACCATCAGCTTTTCGCCAAAACTTAAGATGACCATCATTACTACACGTCATCAAATAGTGAGTTCTGTAATTTAAGAAGTCAATTTAAAAATCATAAGTAAAATAAGCAACACTAGAAAACGCTCATTTAAGTGGGAAGACTTGAACATGATTACTGGGAAATAGAGGCTATTGAAAAAATAAAAACGACTTTTAGAAATATCTCCTAGCTAAATTTTTTTTCTTCACTAGCACAACGGACCTGTTTATTTATAATTAGAAGCCAACTAAAGACATTCATAAGAAACAACCCATCAAATAGTCGATATTTCACTAATAGCAAGAAATGGTCTCAAGCTTGTAGTCGTGAGTTGGTATTCCTGAATAATCATAAACTATGATAATAAGGTCGTTTGGTGCTAGCCAATTATTTGTATTTCTATGACCTACGACAGACTGTAGAAGAAATTCTTCAGACTGACCTTGGTTTTATATTATTCGTAATCCGGTAGTGAATAAACTGAATAAGTTTCATCGGGGATATAAAAATTAGTGTTGATTATCTTCAACATTATTAAAATTGAGAATCTACTTACTTTGAGTAGGCAACATGTGTTATCACATTTCTGTGCATATAACTTATTTCATAGTATTGAGCTACTGGGATATTACGTAGGTAAATTGCTTCATCTTTAAGGACTGGAATGCAAAAAGGGAAGTAAAATGTTTCTAAGTACAGTACAAACGCTCAACAAATAAAGAATAAACAATCTTTAAAACACGTTGCAATTTCAAACAGAATGACCAGATAAACGTTCCACGAGACCGTATCTGTTAAGCGTCCCACAATAGGTAACAGAATAGAGACAGGAATTTAAAAAAATGGCAAAACCTCAAAGTAAAGTGACATATATTAGAACTGTTGAGTGTACGAAAAATAATTTGTGGGTCCACGGGACAATTGTCGTTGACTTTGAGTCGTATCGCTAGACTGTAAGTCTTATAACCCGAATACAACATCTGCCTACACAACAGTACGTGATTAGCATCAACAGTAGCAGACCTCATGAACTAGGATCATTTTTCTGACCAACCTCAGCTGTTTACAAATTAATCTTCACTTTAGTTGGTTGTGTGACGTGTGCTTTGTTCACGATCAAGGCATCACATTGAACACGGTGTGGTGGCTGGAGTGATAATTATTCAATATCTTGAAGAGAACTTGTAATCAATCAAATTAAAGAAAATGTCAAAACAATAATATTTGAGGTTCATTAGGGATAAAATAACAATTTAGTGATAAGTGAACTGGCCTACCTTTACGTTTCTTTTTAGGAACTGGTACAGAATCACCGTCTTCACTAACATCTTCCTGAGACTGCATCATTTCAGATGGTAAAGGACCAACTGTATCGTCTCTAGGTTCGTTTTGATCATTATAATCGACCTCGCCAGCATTTCCGGTCGGCAAAGGACCGATGGTTTCATCATTATCAGACATGATCTATGAACAAATCAAATGTCTCGGGATGCTATAACATAGAAGACAAACAAGTTAAGATATCTTAAAAGGAAACATTGCAACGTGCGACACATCATCAATATGAAGTTGATAGTAAGTCGGTTGCATGCGCTTGACAACAGACTAAAAAGGGCAGTGAAGTGAGGAAATATTTATGGAAACGCGCTAGGTGGATATTTTCAGGACAGTAGACTCCATTATTTGAATAGAATGCAGTAGCGAATTGACATAATCATCCCAATTTATTTCGATCGCTAGGACCTAATATCCAAACACCTAGCGATTAATAGTAAGTTACTACAGTATCATTTAATTAACACAGCTCAAACGACTTCGTAACGTTTTCCAATAACTTTTCCACTTTGTTATCCGTGAGAATATAAGGAAACTTTCAAGGGTCCTAATTAATTTGATTCCACGTAGTTTCTTAAATCTGATGTATGAATATGATAGATTTTAGCAAATTTCTGGGAACCTAGTACAATCACTTTCCAGATTAGTTGGGCTAATTAACCTTGAGGTGACGTTTTGATTTCTTTCACCCGCTCTCAAATTCACAATATCTGTGTCACGATACTCAACAAACCAATCTATTTCTTTACGCTCGCTTCTTGTTGTTTCACTACGATTAAAGGAGTTTGGCGACATTCAGTGTGAAACAGTCTAGTCTCTCGAATGTTTCACTCCTAATCAGTATGGCAATTATATCTGAGTTTACTTATCTTGGAGTTTATAAAGTGAGCTTGTCTCAGGACAGTAGGGTTTCTGGTTACCAGTAACTATCACACTACCAGGCAGGTGGAAGGCTCAATTCGAAAAATAACAGGAGAAACTGAGATGATAACGACAGAAATAGGAAGTAGTTACCAATATGAGGTGATGATAACTGTGGTAATCTATGAAACTGATACAGCTAGGCGATGAGAGAGATGGTCATCCATAGGTGAGTACATGTTTTTCAGGTCTCCTCTTAAAGCCACCTACTAGTGGAGGTATAGTCACTTTGTCTGGGATAGAATTCCAAATGGGGACAACTGGTAATGAAAAAAAGTTAGTGTACTTGTATGTTCGCTTTTCGGTGTACAATCTTCCGATGGTTGTCTCAAGGAGCGTGGTAACGATGTTCTGGTAATATGCTCTTGTTGTGGTGGTTTTGCGTACTTAATATGTTGCATGCCATTATCACATCACCCCTTATTCTCTTGTTTGTGAACAAGAATAATCGCAAGTATTAATGACTGTCATCGTAAGATTTATGTTTTAGCTCTATCATTTACTTCGTCGCCAGTTTCCGAACTTAGTCTAAGAAATTTTATGACGTTTCGGGAGAAGCTCCAACTTCTTGTATACTAAAGTTAGCACCTTATGCACATAACGTAAGAATTTTCGATTCATCCTTTAGGACAGTCAGACATAAAAAAACCTCAGTTACCTACCTCAATGTTAACCTAGAAAGTTTTAAAGCTCGGTGTATGTCACGTAACTTCAAGGATGACAGTATTTTATACTATTTCACAAGTGCTATTGTTAACCCATAATCTGTTAAACAATCTTGTATACGCCGACAAATCAATTCCATTTTTGTCCAACAAACTAAAACGTTTACTAACCGATCGCTTTCACATAACATCGTAAGATACACGCGAAAGTGCGTAATTCAAAGAAACTATCTCGTGCTCTAGATCATACTACCAAGGATTTTGTACAATGACCTCAAAAAATTGCCTAGATGCACGTTTGGGGAGCAGCATTACATCTAACGTCGTTACCGCCTGGTTCCCGGTTGAAAGATGATAGACCAAGAAAACAGCTTATGTCAATTCCTTCTTGAATTTTTCGTTTGGATAAGGACTTTTGTTTTATCCATCAAAATGTTAATAATGATATTGGTGATGCTGTTGATGTAACGAATCAAATATCAATAGTCCGTTTGAACACAGAACTAACTAACCAAAGTTTATTCGACCAGGTCAAACCACGCTCTTCTGTATAGTGTATGAAGTGTTTTTAAATGGCTCGTATTAAATTTTATCAAAACACAAACCTCGTGTTCAATTTAGACTGTTTTAATTTAATAGAGAGAATAAATTATGTCAAAAGCACGAAATGCCACTGATACTAACTAACGTGCTGATAATTAATCAAAAATATTCTCTACAAGATGTGATCAGGAATCTTTCTGAAAAGATTCCGGCAAACTTTTCAAGCAAGCATTAGAAGGATACCACTTATACACTGAACCACGCCGTGACCTTGAGATTGGTCAACTGTGACTCCACTGTCAATGGTCTTGCATCATGCAGCAGTAAATCAAGTAATTAAAGTCAAATCTTCAGTCGAGATAAAATAACAAAAGCCCGAAAAGGAAGACTGACACACAACACTGAGTAGAGAAGAGGGTAGTTGCTTCAATGTTCTCTGCCTAGGTAGTGAGCATGTCACACCTGCACTTGGGTTATTGATCCCCGACCTACTGTATAATCCACCACTACTTCTGATAGTCTTCTTGAAGCATAGACCAATTCCATGTGGCTGTGTTGTATGTAAATATATTCCCAAGTATAGTTGAGTCCCCAATGTTATTATACGATGGCGATGTAAAGATCTGGCAAGAAATAATGGGAGAAGCAGATGCATGCGCACTTAAGGAAGAGATAAATATTGTGATTATCTAGTCCAACAAGTGGCTGATATTTATCAACCCGGTAACGTGTTGCTACATGCACTTGTAGCGTGGCGTCGAGTTGAGATTAACTGTGAACACCGCTACCAAGAAACACGTGCCAGATAAATCAGAAGGCGAGGATCGAACGTAACCAGATTTATTTCGTTGGCGATCTCGTGGTATTGAACGAATACCGAGATCGTGCCAAGGAATGGTACAAGCGAAAGCAGAAGAAAGGAGTACGTGCGAACAGTACCAAAAACCGCGGAACAATGATGGAAGGTAATGGAAGCACAAAATGGCTATAATTAGCACAGTTAAACAAAAGCACATTAAAACACACACCGGTACGGTTGGTTATAATAATAATTGTTTTTATTAAACCAGTCGTGTTCTCGTGATAAACGTGAGTCACTACACACTTCGGAGATACAAAGTTAAACAAACACTGCACAGAGGAGGTGCCTGTACATATGTTCTGGTCTCACAAGGATCTTGGGGTGACAGCGAGTCATGATCTTAAGAAAATAGCTAAGCGGTTTAGAACCTAGTGAGCTTTAAAACGGACATCCATCAAATTAGATACTACCATGTTCACTACAGTATATACAATCTTAGTGAGAACTAAGTTTGAAAACTGTGTTCAGGCAGCAAGCCCGTTTGAAAGGTGACTCGGATATCCCAAAAAATGTACATGGGGCAGCTACCCGTGCAATTCTAGAGCTCCGGGATCTACCATACAAAGAGCCGCTTGAAAAGCTAGATCTCTTTACTCTGTCCTGTCGCAGGTTCAGAGGTTACTTGATTTTAATGTACAGAATACTAAGAAATAATTTTGGACCTGATACACTTCCCATACAAAATCTTACGATATTCTTGATATCAATACACTGAATTTCAATGTAACGGTTGTTGCTTCATTTAATGAATTGAAAAAGAAACTTGGTTGTCCAACAAATGATACAAATCAAAGTATAATTAGTTCACCAGACATAATGAAATGCAAATGATAAGATTTTTATTTCTGTATTATTACCATTATTATTATTACTATAGATCTGGTAATAGTGGCACCCTATACATATATGAGGTCGCACTACTTCTGTGCAAAGAATCACAAAAGACCGCTTACATAATTGAAAAACGATTACCTCCTAGTTTTAAATAAATGATATAATGTAATAAATTAATGATTATACATTTGTACCGCAGATGTGTTCTTCACGTTGAAGTCAGAATTAGACTATACTAATCACTTGAAAATCACAAACATTTATGGATAATCAATTATATTGTAGTTAAACAGATCGAATGAATGACATAAAATCTGTCTCACTCATTCTGATTAAAGATAATGTCGATTTTCAGTTCACATAACTTTTATTACTGTCTAATCACCTTCATAACGTTTTTATAGGTACTACAATGAATTAGGTGAGTTTAGTACGAAAGTGATTACCAGAGAGAACTACTTGAGCAAATTAAATTGTGTCTTAGAAGTTTACGTGTCTCCATATAGAAAGGTTACAACGTCCTATGTGAAGACCACCAGTTTTCAGAAGAGACGTGACCACTGTCTGATAGCCATAAACATAAGTGAATTGATTGCCTGTACAATACTAGAGACCGGAGGTCGGGTCATTTTAGTAGAGGCAGAGATAGAAAGATCAAGTCCAGTTGTGTTCAGAATAACTGATACTGTGGTGTGGGTTACTTATATCCACATAAGTAGTACATAACGGTGGTCAGGCATAGGACGTATTTCAGTAGAAGATCCACAAGGAAAGAATGGGAACGGAACGCATTTGGTATGAAAATGCATGAACAATGAAGTCTGAGACAATGGATTGATATTTTGCAAATTAACTATTTACAATATAGTTCTCAGATTTCAGTGATTTGCTATGTAGTTTTATGCTCAAGTCCAGTTAATTGTCACCACTCGTGTTCTGCACACCACAATACAAGCTGGACATAATCTAGACACAAACCAATAACTTCAGAGGAGCTGCTACTTTACCATGGTCACGTATAACAGCAGGCACACAATGAGTCGCAATGATACCGTGTAAAGATGCGTGAAATCCGCTTGTAAGATAGGAAACTTAGGGGTCAAGGATCATCGAAGCATTTTTCAAAACAGAAAAAAAATAAAGTGTAATGCCATTCAGTGCTAAGTACTCACCAACAGTAAGAAAGATGACGACAATGATCAGTTTGATGACAGACCGTAGTTCATACTGAACAACGACCCGAGAAAAGGCCTGATCATCAGATATGGAAACCAAATGCCAAGTTCGATATGGTCAGCATCGAGTATGAACGGATTGTAAGGCTATGTGAAGTGAGAAAAATAAACAATTATGGTGTGATACTGCTAAGTATGTCATCAATATTTCCACACACATAAAATTCTCAGTTTCACAAGATCTTCTAGAAGAAAAGCACGTTACTATTGAAACTTACTGGAAGGAGACTTAGAAAGCATTTGTCTCAAAATAACAAAAGCAATTTGGGTGAAGGAAGTATCAGCATAAAGGATGGATCTCCATAGAAACACTGGGAATAATTTAAGAAAGTGAAAACAAGAACTCAGCAACCACCAACGTCACGAGAAGAAAGGCGCAAGCCAAGATGTAGCTCAAATATACGGACGCAAACAAACAAGTGGAGAATGGAGTTAGGGTTGACAAGTAAGAATATGTAGAAGAACTGGCGGCTACGACGGAAAATCTGTAATTTAAAAAGTATGTAAGGACTTTTTGACACAACCGAAGGATTAACGGAGAAATATAGTAAACCAGATCAATCAATTAACAACATAAAAGGCAAACAAATCACTGAAATTCAAGAACACTCAGGCAAGTGTGTAGAACAGTTTGAAG